GAGACAACTATCAAATTTTTGCCAACTGCCCCCAAGCTGATACTGACATTTTCTGGAAACCAAGAGGAGAAAAATGGTGAGGAAACAGGTATGCCATCAGAATGAGCATCCATGGTTGGCATGCACAGCCTTATAGCATCTTGGTGAATCTGAACCAACATCCCATCGGCAACAAGCCCACATGCCAAGGTGCAAACATCTGACTGGAAACCAACTGAATCAGTGACATCTTTGAAACTTAATCCCACTGATAATACCCTGGTCTCCTCAACAAATGACAGGACAAGAAATGAATGGTAAACATCAGTAAGCTTCATTTTAACAGTCCAAGTACCAGTTATTCCTTGATAAACAGGTGCGGTTTTCAGAAGCTTTTCTACATTAATGCCACTACGGATAATTCTTAAAGAGCCTTCAGGCGTTACACCACAGCAAGCAAACATTTGGTCTTGTTTCTCATTCTGGTCATCCACAACCGAAAAATCCAGGATCGGAGCAATATTTTGTATGGAACTCATCCAATGTAGCTTCTCATTTCCCAATTTGAAAACCGTTCCATCTGCCATTTCGGCGAACGTAGCTAAGAATCCACCTTCGACCCATAAAATCTCCTTGCATGGTAAACCTTTGTATAAACACTCTGATAGATTAACTTTAAGCCCACCATCTTCATAGATGAGTTGAAACATGAAAAATTCACCATCATCTAAGCAGATAATCATCCGGGGATTATGGTTATTTTCCGGCTCCCAAGTCCATGAAGAGACATGCTTAGAACTCAACTTTCCAATGTCACTTTCAGTATCTATGAACATGGGATCATAATCCCTGAGCTCTAACAAAGCACATGCAGCAACATTAAAACCCTCATCGTCTCCATCTTGTACTCTACACGACTCTTCATTACAATACTCTTCCACTAATGAAGCAGGAATAAGATCTAAGGATGTTCTAAACAAACAGCAAGGGTTTTGAGGATCTCTAAGATCCATTAAGAGCGCATCACCAATCCTGAACAGAAAGGCTAATCCAGAGGAGTGGGGAACTTCGACAATACTATGTGCTAGAGCTCCAGGTTCAACATACTCTGATATTAAACATACTGATTCCTCTTTGACATTCCATCTAAACAAAACCAGCTCGTTCATGAGAGACCCTTTCCTATACAATCAGAAAAATACTGAGGTAAGCAACCCTGGGATGACAGACACTCTTATGGGGCAAGCATAGTAACTGAAAACAAAGCTTATCAAATTGCATACCATACCTATTTAAAACAACGGCAAGAACAGGATCATACTCCTTGGATTCATTAAGATTTCTAGAAATGAAACACATGCTCCAAATAGTACCAGATATTGCTTGTACAGAGCTAGCATTCCCTCCGTCTTCAGAAGGATATAAAATCCTCTAAAATTAAAGAAAATATACTTTTAGCAACTTTATTTATATCACTCATACCACATTTAAAAGGTAACAGTCCTGTCTACTGAAGTTACAAGATCCTCTCGAAGTTGGAGGCAGAAATCAATACCTCATGAATAATATCACCCATTGACGATGTTGAGAGGGAAAAGAGAGCAAAACGATCATGATACGCACTGACAGCAAGAAAGAGACCACTGCAATACATTACAGGAGTCAATATTACTCGTTGCTATTCAAGATATAAAAAACGTATGCTTTAACATTAAGGTGGCTTAGAAAACATGGACACTCAAATGAATTCAATTTTCTAGAAAATCCAGTAGTGAGTACTTCGGCACAAGCCAAAATATACATAAGAAAACAGCAGGTAACCATTATTCTAAAAGTAGTATCCAAAGTCATCGACAGAATCATATAAATAATAAAAACATGGTTTATAGGAACTAATATTGAAACTTGCCTGGAATCTACAGTGAGCATTCTTCCAAGTTGAGTCCTTGAATTACCTGGACTAGAAAGCTGAACATGTTGTATGGGGGAGAACCTGCACCAAACGGCAGTAAATTGAGCAAGATAACATGAGGTTCTTCGGGATAAATAAGAATACACGAGAAAGAAACCTGTGCATTTCATTGCTAAATGAGAGAAATGAGAGCTTTCCAGAATCAGAAAGAACGGCCAAAAGGTCTTTTCCCATCTGCAAAATATAACAGATGGTTGACATATCAAATCATTGAGATCTCCATTCCTATTACTAACAAAACAAAAGCTATGTTGTTACCCAAAAATATTTTCACGAGTGAAATTCCCGATCACTAAAATAAACTCGTGTCTAAATGGAAAATGCGTACCTGCAAACTGTTTGAATATAGTTTATTACTCTGAGGTATGACAGCCAAATCCTTGATTGTTCCAAATACATTCTGTTCACACACCGATTCAACAATACCGTCTTCACCAATAACCACCAATTCTATGCAGGTCTCCTGGTGTGAGAAAAAAAATACATTCTCGTTACTGATTAAGCAACAAGTAACATAGATTTACCTAGCACACAAAAATTGCTCCAGACAACACTTTCCTCAAACACATAAAATAATCCTGGATCCATGATGCCTAAGTCTTTAACTCATAGGATCTAATAAGTAACTAAATCAGAAAATTTAGAAGGAAAATTTATGAGAAGAAGAAAAAAGTGAATTTGAAGCTAGGACCAGAAAAGTTACTGAATTTATAGGCCTGGCTAGATCCCTGCTCTACCTATAAGACTCCTGCTAACTATACATCCATTTTAAAACAGAAAACCTTGGTATTTTATAGTATCCTAATGCAACTTTCAAGTTGTAACCACAAGAAAGCATAAAATTTTTACTCCTTTCACAATGCCCACAACAGAAAAACCAGATGGAAGCTCAAAAGAGTGCAGATTCTTGAGTGGCATATCAACTTGACAAAATTCTCAATCCCTAAACGAGAGATAATAGTCAAACAAGTGTTCAAATCAGAATCCAAATCCAAAGAGTAATAGATTACAGGAAGAAGAAGAAGCAAAACCGGACCTTGCCGAAAACTATGTCGCGAGAGGAGCGAGAGCGGAAGTAGCCATATGCAACCTGGAGAACGACGCTGGGACGGAGGACGCACTTAGCGAGGTAGTGATCTCC